TACTCTAATGAGAATTTGTCCGGCAAAGGAAAAGAAAGAAGAATAGCGGACGATGAAACTCTAACGATCAAATATAAAAGGAAGAAGATTTGGGAATAATGATTGTTACTTTATTATTTATATTGAGTTTGAGTATAAATAAAATGGTGTTTATAAGGCTTTTGAAGATATATTATGTTGTACTTTTGAAAAGCAACCCTACGTTTTATTCTTTTTTGAAAAGGCAATACAATTGGAGAAAAAAAAAGTAACAATAGGTACCTGTTAGTTAGAATTTAGTTTGAATATGAGATACTACTACGAAGGATCGCATCTTTTCAAGTTAATTTAGCATTTTGTCTAATTTTTTTATATGTAAAGTATTTAAATGATTTGACAGGGTATTTTGGTAATTTAACTTTTGACTTAAGGACTTCCACTTTTAATATAATACTAGTTTTAGGATACGCGCGTTGCGCGTGTACCTTATGTTAATGAATATAAAATTATAAAGTTACATAAATATGAGAGTAAAATATGTGTTTGAGTTATAAAATTAAATCTAACAAAATATTAAATTACTATCGCAAAAGGTAATATTCAATCGCTATATTTTTTTATCAATCTACTCTTTTTCGTTTTGGAGTAAGCTTTCTTTCTCTATCCAGACACATAACCATGCATATATGTTTTTATAGAAGTAAGAGGTTAAGATTGTTATGAAGTTACTTCTCATTAATGGATTCTAAAAGAACTATGGTAATCTACTTAGCAAAATTATGGAGTGTATGTTAAAAAATTTCCTAAAGAATTTGTAGTCTTATTTACCCTCTGAAGTTGGCTATTTGATAGTTGATATCCTCCGGACGTCGATGTGTTAAAGAGCATGGATATATACTTTCTACTTTGGGCGCATAAAAGTGAAGAATAATTGAAAAATCGACTTCCGAAAATAACATTTTTCAAAATCGTTAATTGTTATATAGTCATGTACAATTGTTATTTGTCAGAATATAATTGTATATTTTTTCTTGCTTCATCTTAATGACAAATAACAATTGTATATTTTTCCTTGCTTCATTTTAATATACAACACATACTTTTTCCACAAGTATTTCTTCAAATCAAGGTTCCAAAAACAATACTCTCTTTTACTTTAAAAAATGGAATATCTCTTTTGTGTTTTTGGTTTTTAACTAATATTATTATGAATTTTGAAATATTTTTAACACTAATATCAGTAACATCTAAAAAGAGATTTGAACGTCGTATATATTCACAAAGCAAAAGACACACAGTTTGAGAACGTAAAATATCATTGAATACAGAAGGAGCATGGACTAATATTATCAATTTTAATAACAAATAGTTCTTACTTATTCATTGTGGACTTTGTTGTTTTTTGTTTACTTGTTTATCATTATATTCAAATTCATTTCTCTCGTTTGAATTGACAAATAGTAATTTTAATTGAATTTATCATTTCAAGTAGAAGAAAATATACCTTAATATTTTGATCATACCTTAATTCAAAATAAAATTGTCAAAATCGATGTAACTTTGTTCGTTCATATATATTATTCAGTTATTATTAGATCGTGATAAATAGGAATTTGAAATTAAAATTTTGATTTTTCTTCCTTGAACATAAATTAAACTAAGGAGTTATAGTTATTATATACAATTGAAGTAAAAAAAAATTAATTAATATAAATTAAAATATTATTTAATTTTGAATTCTAAATATTAAGACTTCCTGTTATAGCAAAACTTTTACTTAATTTTTAAATTTTAAATAAAATAATTAATGACAATAATATTTAATATATAAGATGATGTACGTGTTATCCATCATTATTAATTAAAGTGCTTATATTAAGTATAAAAAAAAAAGAGCAATTTATGCTAACTACCTATGAAAACTAAAATATTTACCCGTGTTTACCCATCTAAAACTTTGTTACAATTTATACACATTTGAACTAAAAATATTACCCGACTACCTATATTTGTTTTCCCTTATCCCTTATACCTTTATTTGATTGGTGTCCAAAGAATCTTTCTCAAACTGACCTTTAATTAGTTTGTGGCGTGGTAGTTATTAGATTTGAGCACCTTCTTTGAAGTTTTTTGTTCCTTTTTTTTAAAATAAAATTCCCTAGAGCTATTTTTATTAATAAAAGCTTGAAAATTCAATAATTTTTATTGCTTGTTGTGATTGAGAGCTGGAATGAATATATAATTTACTATTTTTTGAGATTTGTTGTTCTAGTTTTTATTATCTTCTAGTATTGCATCATAAAGTATTTTTACCTTGTCATTTTGTTAGCTTAAATTATCATATGTTATTACATTTTTTACTTGCACAAGTTTAATTTTTCAGAGATTGAATATAATAAAAATAAAATGCACTATTAAATGACCTTGAAGCTTGAAATGCATAAATTGGTTTGTTGAGATTGTATTTATTTCGAACCAATTATAACTAGGGTAGGTTTAATTATTGATTTGAGGTTCTGGCTAAATTTTGAGTTAATTAGATTATGTGACAACTGATATTATTTCAGTTTAATAATTGAATTTAAAAAAAAAAATTTAAACCCTTTGCGTACAATTGTATATCATGTTGGTATAGCTATATACTATACTGGTATCACATGTTAGTTGAAACCTTTTTTTGTTATATTAGCTACATTTAATTGGTACACTATTTGATTTTTCTTTAGTAATAGTAGAATAGTACAGTATCTTGATTTTTTTTAATTTTCTTTTATGGATGTGTATTATGTAAGCATTTTGATTTTTTCTTTATGTGTTTGTTTTATATAATAGTATTATAGTACAATATCTTGAAATATATTATTATATTAATATGCGGTACACTATTTTTGATTTTTCTCTTTATGCATGTGTATTATGTAATAGCAGTATAGTCATATATAGTTGCCTGGAAATAATTAGTAGAACTGTATACCCTATTGGTATAATTATATGTCGTATTGGTATCATATGGTAGTTGGAATATTTTTTGATTATTTTAGCTACATTTTTAAGTGAATTGTATTCTGAAATGATTTATATGATAATATTTTATTGTGTTGGATTTTCTTGTACCTATGGACATAGATTTTATGTATTATGTAATAGATTTTATAGTTATATACAGTTGTTGGAACGACTCGTACAACCATATACCATATTGGTATAGCTAAATACTATATTGGTATCATATTCTAGTTGAATCCTCTTGGTTGTATTAGCTATATTTAATTGGTACACTATTTGATTTTCTTTTAATAACAGTAATATAGTACACTATCGTGAAATACTTTATTATATTAATATGTGGTACACTATTTTTTTTAATTTTTCTCCTTATGCATCTGTGTTATGTAATACTAGTATAGTCATATAGTTGTCGGAAATTAACCAGTAAAGTTGTATACCATGTTGGTATAGTTATATGCCATATTGGTATCATATGGTAGTTTGAACAATTTGTTGGTTGTTTTAGCTGCATTTTTAAGTGATTACTATTCTGAAATTATTTATATGAACATGATTTGTAGTGCTGGAATTTTTTTATGCCGATGGATTTAGATTACGTGTATTATGTAATAGTTTTTATAGTTATAGGCAACTGTTGGAACGACCACATACAACTATATGCCCTGTTAGTATACGGAATGAGCAAGTTGCTTTGTGAATATTTAGCTTGCAATGCCAGCATGTAATTTTCTCATACTTTTATTGCATCCTTTAATGTTTTGGTACAGTAGTATAGTCGCAGATAGTTAGCAATATTCTAGAGCAATCATATACTCTGTTGGTATACATGTATACCATACTGGTATCACATGGTACTAGAAATCTTTTTTGCTACTTATACTTTTATTACATTTTTCAATATTTTATTATCATATTCTACTGATATTCAGTGAGTTAGATCAAGTGACAACTCATATTATTTCAGTTTAATAATTGAATATCTAAAAAAGGAAGAAAAAAAAGACAAAAGGTATATTATACTAGTTATATTTTAAAAAAAGGTGAACAAATACTTACTATATTAGTTATTTTTTCTTATTGTATAAAAAATAATAAAAAAATAGTGAAAACAGTAAATAAAATTAGATTATGAAGAGAAAAAGAATATAAAAAAAAAAGATGTTTAATGAAATTAGAGAAGGAAAAAAGAAAAAAAATAAGAAGAAAACGAGAAAAAAGAAAAGGAGAAAAGAAAGAAAAAAAAACAAAAGAAGCATAGAAATAAAAAAGAAGAGAAAAAAGAGAAAATTCCCCACAAAAACTACTATGGGTAGGAAATGTAATTAGTTTGATGGGTAGAAAAACAAATGAGTAGACAAGGGTAAATAGTTTTGTTTTTGTGGGTAACTGTGTCATTCTCCCTATAAAAAATGTATAAGTCACCTTAAACACTTTGTCTACATGTGAAAAATTAGAATTTACGCTACTCACATGGTCCAGAAAAGAAATGGACAAAGAATTAAAATTTGAAAACATGCTTAATGATTCTTAGGTATTTAATTCTTCAAAATTAGACAAAGACAAAAACTTTGCGAAAAAAAAATTCATTATAATTCCTAACGTGTAATAGAAATATGGAAGGGTTATATGTAAGGAAAATAGTTACACAATAGAACAATTATCTAAGTAAAATCTAACTCAATATCATTCCTAAATATTAGGAATTTTTACATAGTTCAAATAAGGAAGTAGTTAATAAGGTTTTAAATATTTGGAAAAATAACTAAACTATAATTACAATTTTATCCAATGTGAAATCTATTTTTAAAGGGTAAAAAAGACGAACGACATTTTGCTAAGGACTTCGTGCTTTTAATATAATATAGATATAGATATAGATTAACCCTATAAATAATCAGTCCTTGTTTGCTAATTGCCGAAATATAGTATGAAAATTTCTGATAAAATAATTCCCTCGCCTATGCTTTTTAAAAAGAATTTAGTTAACTAATCATTTCTCATTGCAAAGGTTGTTGAAAGTAGAAGGATCATGTCAAGCGACGAGTCATATTTACTTTTTTTCCAACACAAGATGAAACAATTAATTTCAGCACCACTCCCGATTACTATTACAAAGAGAATTTGAAAACTTTCTGAATTCCTATTTCCTATTTCCTATTTGTATTCTTCACCGTAATAGATGTAAAGATATTTACAGAATAAAATCATACAGAAATTAGATATGTCGTTAACTACTAAGCGATGGAGGTATTGGAACACACTACCCTTCCTTCCCAGCAACTAGCGTGAGTTGGTGCAATAAAGATTCTTCTATTCTACTATCCACAAATCATATCTATTTCACGCTTCTAATGCAATCTTCTGGCAGAGCTAGCCCCTAATCTACACTCCTCGCCTACTCTTGGTTGGTGAATCATAATACAGAGCCAAGCTGAGACAGCTGCTAGCACTTTCAGAGTAACCTCTGACTTATACATTTCATGCTTCTAATGCAATCTTCTGGCAGAGCTAGACCCTGATCTACACTCCTCGGCTTCCCTCGGTTGGTGAATCATAATACAGAGTCGAGCTGAAACACGGACCTGCTAGCGCTTTCAGAGTAACCTCTGACTCTTCATTTTAAAACCAATACCCTGCAACATCACCAAGCTTCGTAAGATGCCAGTGGCCAAGTAGTCTTTAAAAAAAACGAGCCTGAACAGTTAAGATTCATGCATATGTAAAGAGACTTGATATTTTAGGCCTGTACTAATAACAGATAGATCAAACAACGAGCAAATATAGAATGCAACAGATTGTAACTAGCTCATTTGAGAGAATTAAGTTGAGCAACTATTGCATGTTACAACCAACCAGCCCAAAAAGAATGATCAATACATTTACCATTCAGAATTATATATAAAAGATTTCTGTATCGTCATAAATCTAAAGGTTTCAAGTTGAGTAGGACTAATACGGAATATGTGGAATGTAAGTTCAGTGACGTGACACGGGAAAAGGATGTGGGAGTCAAGCTTGACTCACAGGTTATCCTCAAGAGAGAAAGTTTTAAGTACTTAGGGTCAATTATCCAGGGAGATGGGGAGATCACGAGGATGTTACGCGACGTATTGGAGTGGGGTGGATGAAATGGAGATTAGCGTCTGGAGTACTGTGTGACAAGAAGGTGCCACCGAAACTCAAAGGTAAGTTCTATAAAGCGGTGATTAGACCGACCATGTTGTATGGAGCTGAGTGTTGGCTAGTCAAGAATTCACATATCCAGAAGATGAAAGTAGCAGAAATGAGAATGTTGAGATGGATGTGTGGGCATACTAGGCTGGATAAGATTCGGAATGAAGGGTGGGCGTGGCTCCCGTGGACGAAAAGATGCGAGAAGCCTAGATGCACCGGTTAGAAGGTTTGAGCGGTTGACGTTGGCAGGTACGAGAAGAGGCAGAGGGCGGCCTAAGAAGTATTGGGGCAAGGTGATCAGGCAGGACATGGCGCGGCTTTAGATTTCCGAGGACATGGCTCTTTATAGGAACAGGTGGAGGTCGACCATCAAGGTAGTAGGCTAGGAGTACCCTTTTCGGTGCATGGGTAAGGCTTACGTACACTCTACTCTCCCCAGACCCTACTAGTGGGATTTTACTGGGTATGTTGTTGTTGTTGTATCGTCATAAAAAAAACAAATTATGTGGCAGTGAATCACAAGTGATAATAGGGCAATTGTAGGGCTGGATGCAGTTACAGAATCATTATGGCTAATTTGTATGAGAAATTTTGAAAACCCCAAGCCACAAAACAATTCGAGGGGCCAACCATTCTCCAAACTTCAATATATGCATTGATTAGAGACCTCTTTACAACCATAGTGATGGAAAGAGGAATAGAACAATCGATGCTGACTTATCAGTGCAAACAAACATCAACCACAGTACAACTTATGCATACATAAGAAAGTGGATCCATCACTATTTTTTGATGAAAAAGCGATCTGATCGAAATAAAAATTAAACTACATTTTTTCCTTCAGAATCATTTTTTAAAGATTTCAGCTTAGATAAAACATTTGTACATTTTGGTTTAGCAGCATTACAGTTCATGATCATCTTATGAACTTAAATGTTAATTGTATTAAACGGGTGGATTAAAGTTGGCAAGTCATTAGAAATAAAAAGAAAGTGATCTACTACTATAGCCTAAAGGAAGTCAATCAGAACCATAAACTAGTCTTTAACTAAGTCCTTCACTCATAAGGATGCTCTTCCAATTTTTAAGATCATAGTTCCCCTTACAAGATTTCCCCAAAATACAACCACAATTCAGTTTAACTTTTCATCAACCGAATAGCTTCAGCTCAATTGTATGCTAGAAATACTCAGGTAGATTAAAAATATGCTCACAGTTCCTGACATAATGATATATGTAGGAGTATTTTCCAAACTCCTCTATCATAAAAAAGTTTTCAAAGGAGCCTGACAAACTTCAAATTTAATGTAAGCATCGATGAGTATCCTCTTCCATTCATACATACAAGAAGGAGAGAAATAAGCAATGCTAGAGTCATACCATTTCATATTAACACCGCAGACAAACAGCTTCAACTCAAAAATGAAATGCAGTGGAGTAAGTAGATTGCTAACTTTACGGCATTTACGTAAGCTCGTTAAAATAAAAGGAATTGTGGCCGTAAATCACAAGTTGACAACAGGGGAATTGGGAGCTGGATGCAAATTACAGTGTTATAAATGATTTTGTAGGAGATATTTTGAAAACCCCAACGGCATAAACAAATTCGAGGGGCCAACCATTCTCCAAACTTTCATATAAGCATTTGATTAGAGACCTCTTTACACCCATAGTAATGGGCAAGAGGAATAGAACAATCAATGCTAACACAAGCCATGTTATGCATACGTAATGAACAAAATCAAATAAGGATATACGAGTTTACCACTTCTGCTGGAGACATATGACGGCGCAGTATCCGTCCGATTCCATGAGCTTCGTTGTAAACCAAACACGTTATAAAGAGACTCAAAGCTCTCTATATCCCGCGCTAAACCTCTAAGTTGGATTTAGTATTAGAGGATTCCTCATTTAGTATAAATACAATGATGAATTTCAAATGTAGGTCCATTTAAGAAAGAGATAAAGGAGTTTTCGCTCCTTATTCGTAACGCCTACCATTGGTGAAAAAGGTAACGAGGCTCCGCCAAAGCTGTAACACATGCGGCTGACTAGGGTTTTACGGGCAGAGCCGCCACTGATTAGGGTTTTGCACATCAAGTGTAGTAGTTGATGCTTCTATTTATAGGAGTAGAAAAGGAGGAGGAGCTCCCACTTTTACCAAACTATATGACGGTCCTTTGTGTTTGAGGTATGTTCATATTAGTCCTTTAAATAAACTTTTGAACAATTTTGATCATTTTCCATTAAATATTTAATAAACTCTGATTAATAGATTTAACAGGAAGTATGAAAGGAAAATTTTAATGAGATCAAATAGAAAATCTTGTCAAATTGAAAATCTTAGAAGTGAAGTTGGTTGGAAATTTTCACCTTGTTGGTAAAGGCTCGGTTCTCATCTTATAATATGCTCCATCAAATCTAAAAATTGCACCATACTCCATGTGCAAATCAAAGTATGAGAAAGCAAGGGTGGGTATCGGTCGGTACAGGTGTGAATATTATCGTTTAGCAAATCGGTTATCGATTTATAAATATGCTAAACCGATAGCCGAACCGACAAGATATTGCTTATCGGTTAATCGGTTATCTATCGTTAATATAACTCAATCTACAGCTAAGAAGCATAGTGTGTAATGCATATGACTGAATTTCAATCACTGAAGTTTGCATAGTGAGATTCCAAGCATAGCCATAGTTTGGTCCCCTAACCCAAATTCCCTTGTTAATGGCACAATGCAACTTCCACTATATATATTGCATTTGAAGCCCCGTTAATGGCAAAAATTCAACTTCTACCGTTGATGGACTGTAGTCATTGAAGACTGAACTATGAAGACTTGAAGGATGAGTACGGACAGCAGCTGAGAAAAGTTCGGAAAAAACAAGAATGAACTAAAGCTCTGAAGCCCTAAATGTATTTATATTCTTATAGGGTAAAGTCATAACTTTATTAATTTTTATTGGGTTATCGGGTTAACCCATTAATAAAATTGGGCAAAGCAAGCCCCGAACTAATAACCCGATAGTGAAAAAATACGAAACTGTTACCGAACCTTTAACCCAATATCCCGAAATCGATAACCCAATAAGCTTTTTCGGTTCAGGCTATTGGTTTTACCTGATATATACCCAACCCCATGAGAAAGTGCACCAACGCTAAAAATAACGAAAAATATATTTGGCCACGGTAAGAATTGCCCAAATGTCCAAAATGGGAGTATAATGGTAACTTCGCACGGCTTTTAAGGCCATAATGGATATTTGTACATTTTCGTTTTTCATATATACCCTATGGCAGATTTTTTTAAATTTATTTTTTTTCAAACAATTGTGACGACCCAAAGGGTCATCACCTGTTTCCTTACCCATTTCGTGCTTCCGAGGCCTTGAAAACCTCGTTCAGGGTTGCCTCGATTAGCGTGCGCAGTCCGGGCGCGTAGCCGGAAAGCTTAAATATGAATTCTATGAGAAAAATGCAAAAATTTGATATTAAAACGAATAAATTCGACTTCAGTCAACATTTTGGGTAAACGGACCCGGACCCGTGATTCGACGGTCCCGGAGGATCCGTAGGAAAACATGGGACTTGGGCGTATGCCCGAAATCGAATTCCGAGGTCCCAAGCCCGATGAATGAATTTTTGTGTGAAATTATTTTCTGGAAATATTTGAGGAAATTAGAAATGAAATTTTATTAGAAGACTATGGTATCGGGCTCGTATTTTGGTTCCGACGCCCGGTACAAGTCTTATATACGATTTAAGCACTTTCTGTAAAGGTTGGTTGAAAACGGACGCCGTTTGACGTGTTTCGGACTTAAAATGGAAATTTGATGTTTTATGAAAAACTTGGAAGAAATCATGAGTTTTGAGGCTTGATTCGATGTATATGATGTTGTTTTGGCGATTTGATCGCACGGATAAGTCCGTAGGATGTTTTTGAGGTTGTGTGCATATATGGTTTGGAGCCTTGAGGGCTCGGGTGAGTTTTGGATAGGCCACGGATTGCATTTTGAACTTAATAAAAATCTGGTGCATCAGACCTGCAATTTTCGCATTTGCGAAGCAGGCCTCGCAAATGCGAGCCTGGCATCGCAACTGCGAGGAAGGGAATAGTTTATCTGGGTCGCAAATGCGGACAACTTGTTCGCAAATGCGAAGTGTGAGCCTGTCGCAAATGCGACCATCAAGCTCGCAAATGCGATGTCTGGGCCATCGCAAATGCGATATAAGTGTCGCAAATGCGAAGCCCCTGTTTTTGCCTAGTGTTCGCAAATGTGAACTATGGTTCGCAATTCCCACATTTGGTCGGGGTTCGCAATTGCAAACCCCAGTTCGCAATTCCCATATCTGCAGCCCAGCAATTTTCATACTTAGTCGAATTTTAGGCCATTTTTCACCCCACTGTCAAAATACAACTCCTTAAGCGATTTTTCAAGAACAAGTTTCATTCCAAATCATTTGTAAGTCAATTTTTACTCAGTTCTTTCATTCATTAACATCATTTAACACGTTTTCCACTTAAAATCAAGGATTTTCATGGGTGAAATTGGGGGTTTTGGGTAGAACCTAGGTTTTTCAAAAAAATTGGGGATTTGGACCTCAATTTGAGGTCCGATTTCAAAATAAATCATATATTTGGATTCGTGGGGGAATGAGTAACCGGGTTTTGGTTCGAACCTCGGGTTTTGACCACGTGGGCCCGGGGGCAATTTTGGAAATTTTGGGAAAAACTTTGGGAAATTCAATTTTATGCATTCAAATTGATTCATTTAGCGTTTATTGATGTAATTAAGTAACTTGTGACTAGATTCGAGCGGATTGGTGGCGGAATCGAGAGGTAAAGCCATAATTGAGACTTGAGTTGAATTCAAAGCATCGAGGTAAGTGTTTGGTCTAACCTTAGCTTGAGGGATTAGGAGTTGAGTCCTATTTGTTATGTGATAATTGTTGAGTACGACATATAGGCATGGTGACGAGTATCTATACGTTGGTGTCAAGTATGACCGTGAGTCTTATATTGTGATTTTCATGATTTCGTTGTATTCTTCATGCTTTGGCAATGATTTCTAGTTGTTGTGACAAGTTGTGGAAGGAATTGAGACCTTTGAACATTTTGGAGCATTGGCTCGAGTTATATTATGAATTGTGAAAGTATATGAAATGATTAAACCCTTTGGAGCATTGGCTCGAGTTATATAATGAATTGTGAAAGTATATTAAATGATTAAACCCTTTGGAGCATTGGCTCAAGTGGTAAAGTGAGTTATGAAGTACAAGTGAAAGATAGAGAAAGAGTTATTGAAATGTTCCCTCGCCGGGATTTAATTGTTTAATTGTTGTTCCCTTGCCGGGATTCCTATATGTTCTTGTTTATTTCCCTTGCCCTTGTTTGTGATTGTTGTTTGGGTGAGGAAGAGTGTTAAAGCACGAAGGGTGATGCCGTGCACTTGTCTTTGATTTTTCTGATTTTGCTAATAATTGAGTTATGATGTCCTTTACTTCTATTTACTGATTTTCTTGTTGTTATCGGTTCAAGTGCATTAATTGTCTTATTCCACTATTACTGTGATTCTTTATGTTGGCATTTTCCTTTATTGTGTTACTTGTTATTATTGGCTCGAGGTATCCTTGCGCAACATTATGCTTTGAAATTATGCTATAATTGCTACATGTTTATGTGATTTAATTGCTACTTGACATTTAGCATACTAAATATTAAATTGCATATTTGCTCCTTAAAGTCCATAATTAATTGCTACTTGTCATTACTTGTTTTTCTTCAGTGAGTCATAATTATTGTGTACTTGTTGTCTTATGAATTCGTATTAATTGTTGCATTTGTGGGAGTAAATTTCATTTGGAAGAACTGTTGATTAATGAAATGGGAGCGGGTGGTACGCCTACCACGAGATTTAATGAAATGGGAGCGGGTGGTTCGCCTACCACGAGATTTAATGAAATGGGAGCGGGTGGTACGCCTACCACGAGATTTAATAAAATGGAAGCGGGTGGTACGCCTACCACGAGATTTAATTATTGAGAAATGGGATCGGGTTGCACGCCTGCAACGAGATTTAATTATTGAAAAAATGGGATCGGGTTGCACGCCTGCAACGAGATATGTACTGACAGTGAAATTTGCTTTTATTTCCCTTATCCGTGCAGAGTTAAATTATTGATGTTCTTTATTATTTTCTTGAAATTCTGTATTATCTGTTATCCTCGAAGCATGTTCCCCTCCCATTTAAGATATCTGTTCTTGTTATTTTCCCGTCGTAGATATATATATAACTGTTCAGGTTTATGTGGTAGTCATGTCTAGCATCGTCACTACTTCGCCGAGGTTAGGCTAGGCACTTACCAGCACATGGGGTCGGTTGTGCTGATACTACACTCTGTGCTCTTTTGCACAGATCCAGGCCCTGGACAGCAGCAGTAGCTCGGGAGCCACCCTTCAGTTCACTGAGACACCGAGGTAGCCTCGCACGCGTTCGCAGGCCCGGCGTCTCCTCTATCTTATAATTTATTCTGTTATCTCATATTTTCGAGACAAACGGTGTTATATTTCTTTCAAACGATTGTATTTAGTACTCTTAGTAGTCCATGAATGTTGTGACACCAGTTCTGGGTAGAGACACATGTGGATTTTTCCTTATTATTTGGTTTATATCGTTTAAGTCTTCCGCTAAATTATAAATTCCGCCGTTGTTTAATTATTTATTTCCTGTTAATTAAATTGGTAAAAATGGATTTTAAACAAAAGCATTTATGGATTCTAGATGTGTGGCTTGACTAGCTTCTACGAGTAGGCGTCATCACGACCCCCGAGGGTGGGAAATCGGGGTCGTGACAACAATTCTCTCTCACTAATTTAATTGTCTTACCTTCCCAAGATGCATGCTACATCATTTTTCATAAAGAACATATACATATACTATACTAATTAAACGAAATACACTAAAATATACATATACTATACCAATTAAAAGAAATATACTAAATATACACATAATATATTAGAGAAAATACGTATAAAAATTAAACTACTGGTATTTATCTTGCATTGGTCACTTTCTAACCCTACAT